GCAACTGTACGCGGGCTATATTTACTAGAGCTAATGTTTAGTGCATAGCCATATGTGTGGTTTGTCAAATTCTATGCATCAATGACAATGTTTGCAAATTGATAATCATCAACCTTAGGGACTGTTTTTTTGAGGTGGAATCTTGATCACTTGATCCTGTTCAGGCTAAGCAAATGAAAATTTCATCCAGTGGGTGCTATGACCTATGTCATTAAAGCAACAATATGCGCATCTACATGCTAATTTCTCCAGTACTAGACTAGCAAATACTTCGTGTCATGCATAATCACACTACCTTATGACAAAATAAATTCTAGTTCCTCCAATTTCACTGCGCGTTTGCTTAAAACCCACAAGAAAGAGCTGCGAAATCTGGTAATCTGGCGCCAACGCCGAATTGTTTGCCAAGCAATTTCGCCCCGAATCGGTTAAGTGACGTCACATGTTGCTACGGGTGTTGAGCAGAAAATATAGTCGTTTACATTTTAAGATAGTTGTAGTATTGTGAACTGCAGTGTATGTAACATCAATGGCTATTGGGAAAGTAATAATAGGCATCGTAATAAACTCTGAGAATAACGTATTGATTTTAGGCTTGATATCGCGAACGATAACATGTCATTGCGCTAGTAGCGTGCGAGCGACAAATGCACACGGGCTGTAGAAATCTTTGCTACACCCGCTACAGGTACGGTTGCTTGGCAGAGCAACGCGAAAGTGTCAACAATATCGGAGAATTTGAACAACATTGGAGGTATTTTCAAATACCTTTTCAGGGTTCTCCAAGAGCACTTATAGCCTGGCGGCCCGCCAGGCGATCGTCGAGCCCCGCCATCCTAAAATGCACCCGCCACTCTATATTCTGGTCGATACTCATACTAAGAAAATATGATGAGTACTGCCAACAAGGAGTACTCATAGGGATCTTGCCGATACTCATACATAAAAAAAATGGTGAGTAAATACTCATCAATGCCAAAAATTATCTGGAGCACTGGTCCTTTGTTAATAGTCAACAAATCCATGTTTAACCCTCCTCTTGAGGGTCAAAAAGTTATCAGACACTTACTCTTCGCACGTCAACGGAAAGTAGATTTCATGGTCCTTTCAATAAAGTGATAAAAACGGTAGGTCAGCGCTGAAACAAAAAAGTTTTGCACTCGGTCCGTTAGACCATGTCCCGCAGAAAATGTCTGATATCTGACCTTTCCCCACTACCCTTTGACCTCCAATTTCGCACTGGTGATGAGTTTCCTCCCCATCACACTATACACCGAATATTAAGAGCGTAGGTCGAGCCGTTGAGATTTGTGCCGCAATTCCGTATTTCCTCCTATACCTTAAGTTAAGGGGGAAATATTTCCCCTCTATTGACACACCTCGACCTTTGACCCTTGACCCCCAAATTTGTCATCCTGCGTCCTTTTCACAATCCCCCCACCCCGACATCCCGAATATCATGACCGTACGTCGAGCGATTAAGATTTGTGCCCAACTGTTGACGGACGGACGGACGCACGATTCTGCGATTCTACGTCAGATGAGCTAAAAAGGAACTGACATCTAATATGAATGAATTATAATTATTTCAAATATTAAATGGGTCTGTATGCACTATACCAACTACCACATCCCATCCAAGTTCATTCAATAGAAGCATTTTTAGATTTTGAAAACAGTTTGATGGTACCATATTATAATGCACACTTATTGAATCATAAAAATTGCGAAACAATAAACACAATAATGTGCACAACATCAGAACACCTGCCACTCTAGGATGCATCCAGAGAGAAAGGCATGATTTCTCCAATACATGACAAGAGAAATGTTTACGGTGAGGGTCAGACAGACATAATAAAGTTTCTCCAATGCCACAATTATATAGTTAAAATCACACAACCATACTTCTCTAAATGAAAACTATGGTGGGCACCCCTCACCTCTGCAGTCAGCAGACACCCTCCATCCAGAATTCATGGATCTGTCCTTTTATACTCTACAAGAACATTTGTTCGTGGTAGATGAGAAAACTATATCTTGTATGGTTACCTCTTGTAACTTCGCATTATACATAATGCAACAGACTACCCATGATTTCACGACTGCTAAGTACTATGATTTCATTTTACTTAAATTCTCTCATATAAAATGACGATTCATAAAGGTTTATATCCACCAATCATAGCATTCTCTTCTACAGCAGGCAGTGTTTTTCCTGCATGAAAATTACCATGACCCCATCCCACCAATAGGTGATGCAAACATGCCAGATTGTAAATGGAAACAAGGATACCCATCCTGTAACACTGGAGGGAAACTATAGGCACTACCTATGTATTAGTATTACAGATCTATCGACTATTTCTCAGCTTGTCACTACAATGTCAAGTTTGACAACATTTCTAACCTCAATAGTTACAAAAAGCTATTACTGTGACGAGCTCTAGCCGTTCATAGGCATGGGAGTTTGAGTGACATCCCACAGACATGAGTTGAGCTAAGGGTATGTTCGATTAGGCAGATCACATGATCTGGTCATGGTGGGTCCCATCAACTGGCCGTTTCTTTGGTTGGATCCACTGAACTAGACCAACCTGAGCTGAACCTGCTGGTATTCTGGGTTCAAAGGTGATCCACAAGGTTATCCTGTATATAAATATTTTATCACATTTGGTGCAAGAAAGTTGCTGCTAATCATAATATTTGATTGATTTGTTGCTTGGCAACAGTATGATGCTGCTGCTTGCAATACGAATATATCTAGTTAGATAGTTACCCTGAGCAGGTAGCTTCGAAAGTCAGGTGATTTATCCAGAAATTTTGAAGGTTTTACAAAAAGTGTGACAAGTCCTCGTAAAAATACCAATATATCTATTAGAGAGCAGATGTGTTTATTTTGCAAACATTCAGTACCAGTAAACCTTTTCATTTGTCTCCTGCAATGTGGTTTAACTGTTATGTGGTTTAGTGTAGGTTTTTGTTAATTAATTATACAGTAATTTCATTGAGGCTATAATAAAATGTGCATGAATATTTAGACATCAATTTATATAGACAGTTAGACACACTAAAGGCTTCTATCAATATGTGTGGGTTTGTCTCACTGTTGTGCACATTTTAGTGCCCACTGTTTTATTATAGACTGCATGAGTATGCTTTGTCAATAAATGTGCACATAGATGAGGGTTTTCACCTTACTTGCACAACTATTGTATCCATGGCAACAGTAAATGTACTGAGCATATAAAAATACATGCCAGTGGTGGCATCGATGTGTAAATAATTCCTACTGACACATTGCATTCATGCATCATCATGCTGGAGCAGTTGTTTGCGATTTATTCAATGAGTGTCTGACTTGATTCAGTTGTGTTTACGTTTGTTTTGTACATTCCTACAGTTGGTGAGTTATTGGTTTTTCCAATACTCAGACGGGGATCATCAAGGTGCAGATGTGAATGGAAACATGCCCAGAAAGCTGAGACAGACGAATCAAAAAGCTCGTGGTGAGATAATAATGCCAAATTCGTTACCACTATGAAAAACCAATAAGTAACTAATACATATGAAAACATAAATAAATTGGCAATTATAATGCAGTTTTTTATAGAAAAATATATAACTTGTTGTTAGTTGTCAATAAGTAATTGTACAAATCTGTACTTTTCCTAAATGTATGAAAAAAGTACTGCTTTTTTAAAGATTTTTTTACCATTAGTTAATTTATATTTTAGGTCGGCAACAGATAGCTACTGATGGGTAAGAATAACATTTGTTGCTACTTTTATGAGATTAGATCATTTAATGTATATATAGGAAATGCTGCTCTTGGTCAGTTTTTTTGTATATATGCCTATACTAGAGTGAACATGTATCTGTGAATTAGGGTTAAATGTGTAACAACTGCGCATTAGACCACAGCGCCAAGCCTGTCACTGTTGCTGTCTGTCCGACATGTGAGGTCTGTAAAAGCCTGTGTGTGAGTGTGTGTGTGTGTGTGTGTGTGTGTGCGTGCGTGCGTGCGTGCGTGCGTGCGTGCGTGCGTGCGTGCGTGCATGTGCATATATGTGTCCCTGTGTGTGTGTACGTCCATGTGTGTGTAGTTAGTACTTGGTTAGCTGTATATAGTGTGATCATTAAGTATCTGTGCACAACTGGCTGCTGATTTCATAACACTATATATATAGAACGGCAAAATATCAAGTTATCGGGTTAGACTTATTAATAAAAATTTGTAACAGCAATTTAAATAGAGTGCATTTTAGTAGCGGTTGCCACAATAAAGTTAATTTCTGCTAATTTTTTAAATGATAAAACCACACATAAACAAAGAGTATATGATGCATACTAGTAGTTTTACTCACGATGATAACATTATGATCTAACTTGGAATACGTAGCTGTCTGTGACCTGCTAGTACCATGAGTGGAGTATATGTCTCCCTGGGTACGGTCTGGTATACCGGAACGTACCCTGGTAACTATCTGATATGGTTAGGGTTAGGGTTAGGGAGTAGGCGTAGGCGACTCCCTAGACTCGTTAGTGGAGTAGGCGAGGTACGGTCCGGCATATTAGATAGTACCAGGGTACGTTCCAGCAGTACCCAGGGAGACATAGACCCTGGCAGCCTAAGTACTATGAGTGGAGTATAATTCTAATAATGTCTAATTGTGTATTTATATTTTATACAAATCCTAACTATTATCTACAACATGAAACTGTAGTATACCTATATATATATTAGCACATTTAGAAGCAAATGAAGATTTTCGAACCTGCCGTAGAACCTGCTGTAAACCTTGTCATACATTTGAATCTATATTTCTGGATTGTGATTATATATGGGGAAAATGATTAGAAATGAGGTAATTTTTTATACTTTATTTGTTTAAGTAGATAATTATTAGTGCATAATGTATATCAGAAGTAGATAATAGGGAATTCCCTATTATCTACATCTGATGTATTATTATGTATGCCATGCATGAGTGCCATGCAATATACAGCAATATGTATACTTAAATAAAATATGTGGATAGATAACTACCAAGGATAGATACACAAAAAGTATGACAAGCACATTTATTTACATTGGTGTCCTTTAAATGTCAATTAAATGTTTAACTTTATTGAGTTACGGATGATGAGTGCCATTCACGAAATGAAAAGGTGGTAGTCCTAAAGAGTTGGGCCCCACCCAGTTGCATACCAACAAGAGTGCATAATAGAGATTATAAGAGATAAGAGATAATAGAGATCTCTATTATGCACTCTTGATACCAAGGTATACAAATTTATATGGGCAGGTATACCCATGTAGAATTTTAGCCATGTGACCGGAAGCAGATTAAATGCACTGGTTACAGTTACTTAGTAACTAGTACTTAGTAACTATAGTTAACAGTTTGTACAGAGCTATAAATCATGGGTAGACTAGAGCTATTACGTTTGGCCTTTCCCTTTTTTGGCATGTCATACTCCCTGCAACTAATGCATGGAATTGACACTATTTTGTAACAATATCTATTTCTATTTATTTTACTAAAACTGCTGTAGCTGTAGCTTTTCTCTGTTTGTTTCCTGCACATTGTTTTTTTGCACGTTATGTGTGCCTGGATGCCGTTGCTAGGAAGAGTGCCTAGGAATGTTCTAAACACCATTGTTGCAAGGCACAGTGGGATAGTTTTGCGTTGCTGTGTACGTCAGTGCGTAGAGATATCTGTTGTCAGCAACAAGGATAGAGTAGTCATTCAGAAATGGTCGTGAACGTTTACAGTGAACGGGTTTGAAGTGTGACTATATAATCTCGAGTGCAATGTATGGAAATGAACGAAGATCTGATAGTTCAGATCAGGATGCAAGCGTCAGTCACGGGTGGAATGGACGTAATGCCACTTACCCTTACGAGTTCCACAGACCTATGAAAACGCAGTTGTAAGTAAACAACAACCAGATGCTCATATATACTCCACGCAGTGTGGTGAGTTGCCGTTATCATCCGTTATTGTCGTGATATCGGCGAATCATCACACTGCGTGGAGTGTAAGACTAATACAACTGTCATCTTGATGTACAATTTATTTTTAAAAGCGTAAATGAGTGGCACTGAAATGTGAACTTTAAAAAACCGGCAGTGATGGTGGTTGTGGTAATGGTATTGATATTGGTATTCGAAATGATATTATTTGCGGTAGCAGAAGCAGCAGGACAAAAGATCTTGACTACCACTAACTATGACATTTAAATGAGTTTCAAATTACTATAGCCAGATTTGTTTCATATATATTTCTCATGCTATTGCTAGGATTCCAATCATTTTCCAGCTATATATTTTATCAATAGCTAATAATACCTTTTAAAACCTATTTATAAAACCTAATTATAAAACCTATAAAAGTTATTAATAATACTATTTAAAAGAGCTAATAAAGGTATTATGAAAAGTACTTAATTGCTAATATTTTGACCTACAGAGTTTTAAGAACAATTGTTGGTACCAAACACTAATAAGCCAGTTCGTAGTTAGCCAAGGGCTGAAGGGGTTGTGTGACGTTACGGGTCACAGGGTCATTTGTGACAAAAATCGATGAAATCTCGAGTGCGGCGTGCGCTCTCGATTCAGTACGTATATGTACATGTAATCTGTGTACGTGCACACGCACACGCACGCACGCACGCACGCATGTGTACCTGCACACGCACGCACGCACGCACGTGTACGTGCACACGCACGCACGCACGTCTACGTTTACATGCATGCACGCACGCACGCACGTGTACCTGCACACACACGCATGTACGCATGTACGCACACATGCACACATGTGTACCTGCACACGCACACACGCACGCACGCACACATGCACACACGTGTACCTGCACACGCACACACGCACACACGCACGCACGCACGCACGCACGTGTACGTGCACACACACGGATGCACGCACGTGTAAGTTCACACGCACGCACACACGCACGTGTACGTACACACGCACGCACGCACGCACGTGTACGTGCACACACTCTTGCACGCACGTGTACATGCACATGCACGCACGCACGTGTACGTGCACCCGCACGCACGCACGCACGTGTACGTGCACACACACGGACGCACTCACGAATGCACGCACGTGTAAGTTCGCACGCACGCACGCACGTGTACGTGCACGTGCACACTCATGCACGCACATGTACATGCGCACGCACGCACGCACGTCTACGTGCACACGCACGCACGCACGCACGCACGCACGTCTACGTGCACATGCACACGCGCGCACACACGTGTACGTGCACACACACGGACGCACGCACGCACGCACGTGTACGTGCACACGCACGCACGCACGTGTAAGTGCACATGCACGCACGCACGTGTAAGTGCACACGCACGCACACACTCATGCACGCACGTATACGTGCACACGCACGCATGCACGCAGGTGTACGTGCACACGCACGCACGCACGCACGCACGCACGCACGCACGCACGCACGCACGCACGTGTACGTGCACACGCACGCAGGCACTCATGCATGCACGTGCACACGCACGCAGGCACGTACGCACATACGCACGCACGCATGCACGCAGGTGAACGTGCACACGCACGCACGCACGTATATGTGCATACGCACGCTCGCACGCACGTGTACGTGCACACGCACGCAACTCACGTGTACCTGCACACACACACACACACACACACACACACACACACACACACGCACGCACGTGTACGTGAACACGCACGCAGGCACGCACGTGTACGTTCACACGCACGCACGCACGCATGTACGCACGTGTACGTACACACGCACGCACGCACGCACGCGCGCACGTGTACGTGCACACACACACACATGCACGCACGTGTACGCACGCACGCACGCATACGTGCACACGCAC